AAGAGTTCACTGTTTATCATAATTATTTTTATTTTCACGATAGCACTAAGTTCGTAACGACAGGGCCCCTTGGACCTTAAATATAAAAATTATTTATTTATTGTACTTTTTATCTCTTTTCAGAATGAAATAATCGAAAGCTGGGGCTATTCTGCGAAAAGTTATACTATCGTCACTCCTGACGATTACATACTTACTGTACATAGGATCAAGCCAAAGAAGCCATTTCTAATGGGCAAACGAAACGTTGTTCTACTGCAACATGGTCTCATAGATTCCTCTCATACGTGGATAAGTAATCTTCCCAATCAAAGCCTTGGTTTTATCCTCTCTGACATGGGATATGACGTGTGGCTGGGGAACAGCCGAGGAAGCACCTATTCACAATACCACAAAACCCTCGATTGGGCAAGCCAACGATTCTGGCAGTTTTCATGGGACGATATGGCACGGAATGATTTCCCTGCAACAATTGATTTTGTGCTCAATCAAACCGGCAAAAATAAGCTATTTTATATAGCGCACTCACAGGTTGGTGGGCCGTAATATACCTAAAGGCTTCATTACCCTTTATTTGATTAGGGCACCCAAATTGCGTTTGCCAACCTCAACTCGGACCCAATCCTTCGATCGAAAATTTCAGCGATGGTTGCTTTGGCACCAATAGCTTACCTTGGAAATGTGAAAAGTCCTCTTCGTTTGCTGTCGAGCGTTTGCAAAGACATTGATTTTGTTAATACCTGGCTCGGTAGTCGGGGAATCCTGATGCTCTTCTCACTTGTACGCTTTTTCAGTACCTTTCTTTGCCATGAAAAGTCCATCTCATTCCTATGTAGCAGCATTCTCTATTCTTTCGTCGGTTACGACTTCGATAACACGAATACGGTGAGTTTGCTTCCTCTGCTGCTTTACAGCTGTTTTTTTGACCCCAGTTAAGGCCATACTTGCCCGTTCCTGACAGGAAAATGGCAGAAGGGGAGAATATTCCTTGAAAACTTGTAGTTCAGGTTTACGGGATAAAAAATTGGTGACTTGAGCTATATATACAAGACTTCTGCTTCACTTGAGAATTAAGACGGTGCTTTTAAGCAACAAACCCTACCAAATCAGTTATATTAACGTCGCAGGCAGTCAGTAAGCTAACTATCTGGTCTCCCCTGAATTTCCATCTGTGCTAGTCGGCTCAACAGTGCTATGGAAATAGTAGACCCTAGAATGTCCAATGATCAGCACTGTGGTGGCAAAGGTGTAAAATACTGGACATAATAAGCCCCCGTCCTCTGTACTCTGTGGACCTGGAAGATCTCCAGGTGATTGCCTTAGGATAGGGTCGTTGATGTTGATGTTTTTTTAAAAATCATTTAATCACTCTGATATTCGCCATTTATCCTTGACGTCACAACTCACCTCAATCCTTTAGTAACTGTCATACGCAAATTTAGAACATTTTCCGTCTTCGTTAAATACAATAATTTTCCTTCGTGTGGCGTTAGAGGAACTGAACTATTATATTGTTATTGCAGTTAATCGTTTATCTGATTTGAATTCTGTCATTCGAGGTCGTTTGATAAATGTTGTGCTCAAAAACCTTTACTTTCTGCTCATTACGGTTTAATACCCTCCAATGTACATTTTGTCCTCATGGTTCTCTAGTGTCTGAAAAAACTTGACAGACGTGATAGACTTAAAGTACTTACAGTGATGAGAACCCGTGCTATCAATCCGTTCGCTGGGCACCCACGGTCTGGGCTCTGCCTGATTACGCATTGTATAGGAAGCCAACCCTATGGGTTTTAAAATTTCACTGTTTGTTTTTTTTGTCTGGCTTCAGCAATTGTAACTTCAATTTAAAATCCTGTTTGTTTACTTATACAGCTTCGTCGATCTGGTCTGCAGCACGGAATTACAAACGGTCTGGGCGTTTGGCATAGCATCCAGTTGTTCCTTTGACTAATTTTCGTGCCATAGTAGGGATAGTATTAGTCTGTACAGAATAATTAAAGATTAAGGAGGAGCAAATTGGCAGCGGAAGCGCGTTCGGTGTCCATGGAGCCAACGTGCGAATGTCTGAAATCCTCGCAATAGGTGAGATTCGCGTGAGTCGCGGGCTGCTCGAGTCATGGTTCTCAGGCCCCCATTCCATCAACAAACGCAACGATTTAGCTTTCCCATACGGTGTACTGAGACATTTCCTGAGCAACAGAATCAGTCACGTGGGGAGGATA